TAATCTACTTACATATAAAATATTTAAACTTGTTTCATTTTTGTTTATTCAATTCAGAGTATTTTATATAAAAAATATGTGTCATTATTGCCATTTCACATGTAGGAACAACACCATGGCACTGAAGGTCTATATGTTCACTTAATGGATTAGACTGAGTACAAAACCTAGTGTTGCAAAGACAATGATGAGAGCTACTCAAGGGAATATCTTTTAAGTGAATTTAGGTATGGAGTAAGTCAGGCAAGTAGTGAGTTGCCTTGGGAGTTCAGCAAGTGGGTTGTGAATTTCTACAGCCTCTGCTCATGCAAGACAGGCTTGGAATTCAAGCTTACAGAAGACAGGCCTGAGCTGCATCACTAGTTGTAGACTTTCTCCTTATTGATAAGCGATGAGCAAACATGTAACTCAGAGCCAGAATCTCCCGGAATTTCCAGATAAATTCAGTTATCAGCTATCTGCTGGTAAGCAAATGAAGTCTTCTTGTGATTTTTCATGAAGGGATCAGAATGCAAATGTAATACTACTTCTCTGAGGTCAGTCTTCCTAGAGCAACAAAGCAGCCAACCCACTGTCAGTGGCAGATCAAATATATGGAAATTGACTTAGAGGTTTTCAGCTACTTTGCTTATTCCAAAAATATGCATGAGTTGTTGTAGCTTTAGGAAGGGGGAGTTGTTAGATCACACAGCCTACACACAGACGTTTACCTGCATTAAATACATTTAGAGTAGAAAAATTGCCTGAGTCACCTGAAGCTGATCTGCAGGAGCGTAGAAGTCTGACTAGGAAGACTTCCTAGGTACTCCTCGAAGTGTATATATTTTAATTCTTCTGTGTGATATTTACCTCTGAAAGGGTCACCGTACCAAAACTGGTGACCTTTTGAATATAAGTATTAAGACAGTGGATTGTGCTCAGTGGGTGAGTCATATCAGAAGTGAGATTTTTCAGGAAGCTCCATCTGTTTTGATACATCCTAAGGATGTCTGTCTGCCAAAGATTGTGCACCATGGAGGGCAGCAGACCAAGACTGTACAGGAAGCGTGCGAAGGACATCACTAAATGATGCACTATCAAACGTCTGTGGATGTATGTGTGTCAAAGCTCAAGAACAACTGCAATGGAGAGCAAATGTGTTATGTCTGACTCACTGCTGCAGTCACCAGCCTATATGGCTGGGTAAGGAAAGATCAATGATGCAAGGTCCAGCATTTATCAACAAAATCTAAGTGGTTTTGTACTTGTATAATGTGGCGGGGAAAAAAAAGAGAAAAAAATTCCAAGTCTGCAAATGGATTATTAACTTCAACAATCGGTAGTTTATTGGAGCTATAAAGTAGGATTTGCTTCATCTGATTTTAAGTGTATACACTGTCTGTTCTGGGATGAAGAAAATTACAGTCTTGATTTGACAGACACTGCTCAATGCATTTCTCATAAAAGGACTTTGAATAGCAGCAGTGTGGATCTGCAGTAGATATCCAAGTTAGGTGAATACTTAAACTAACAATGTCTTAGAAGAAAGCTGAATTTTTCATATAAGGAAAGATAATCTAACAAGTTGTAAAATGTCTGTCTGTAAAGTATATAGACAAATGGTTTGCAGCCCTAATCTGGTAACTATTTGTTCTCTGATTTGTCCTCTGAGTCCTCAGATAGCACTAGGGTAGATTGCAAGGAGGAGTTAATAAAGAGAAGAGAATCCAGGAAAAGAGAAAGAGCATGTTTGTCGGGTTGCAATTTAAAATGTGTCTGCTTCCATTTGTAATGGTACTAAATAATGTCAGGAGACAGCAAGTGCCTTTCCCTCAAGATAGAATATAGGAAATAAAAGAGACTGTCCAAAGGCTGGAGGAGTGGGAGAAAACGAAAAATCAAAGATGCCTGGGACAAAGTGCCCGGAAAGAGATACAGCAATCCATCTCAGTGATACTGGTGCAATTAGCTCAAATGGCTCTGTTAGAGTGATTTTAGTAAGTCAGGTACCTGGCCTTGATAAATTGAGATTTGTGTGTTACCATGTATGATTTATTTAATAGGCAAACTCCAGGAGTTATCTGGGCACATGATTTCTACTACTGCTGGTATTTTTTTGTTTATAGTACTCCTTATGAAGAGAAGGAAGATAATTAAATGAAATAAAGGAAGATTTTGATGCTATGTATCATTATCTTCCAAAATGTAGAGCATGTGCTAGTGATAGAAGGAGCATTACATGAAACTGATGCAGTTTGGTCTCCTCCTGGGTGAGGAACATGAATTAATCTCAGAGCAAGTGAAACTGGTAAGGCATTACAAAGAGGAATGCTTCTGGATTCGGGAAACTTGAACACACAGCCCAGTCTGGAAGAATTATGGATGTAAATCATTGCACATTTAGCTCTTCTAACCAAACCTGTAAGAGCTTTCTTCAATAGTTCTTGTATGTGGATCTGGGAAGTAAACAACAGGATTGATTTAGCAATATGTACTTTTTCCAACAGAGTCCTTAGTAAACCACCCACTAACAAGAGCAGTAAGTGCATCTTCATATGGGTGAGGAGCAGTGATTGCATAAAACCAGCTGGCTTTAGCCCAAAGACATGATCTCTGAGACTCTCAGAGAAACCAAGTAGCAATACTCCAGTGGGAAACAATGTTCCATAACTGATTCGGGTCTGTAAATGGCTCAATATGTGTTTGCTCAGGTTTGATTTTAATACAGAAACAAACCACAAATGCTATTTTGGCTCACTAGGTGCAAATCACTGGATAATTTTAAGTTCAAGAGTGGAGAATTTTTATACAGCTGTCCTGGTTTTCTTTCTGCACTGAACACATATCAAAGCAAGTATTCCTAACACATAATCTGTTTACAGATTCGTTGGCAGAGAAAAATCTCAAGTAGAAGTTGTGGAAGTCTATGTGGACCTTATTCTGAGAGCAGTCTTGGCATTTGGAAGTACTGTCAGTATTTCATCTCTATGGAGAGATGAAACTTTCCATAACCTTATTCAATGCAGCTAGAGTGAGTGAATTTGAAGGTAATGACTGCCAACTTCTTCTGCCTGCAAAACCAAAGTAATTTTCACATGGCTGAAGGCCTCCTGTGAGTAGGCCTTGGTCTATGTTAGTTCAGAAAGAGATGATCTCTAAAAGCCATGAAGGCTAGCAAGGTACAAACAAGTACAGAGGGACCACAACAATCTGTGCAGTGACCAACTCCTACCGAGCCATGTTAGGAGTAGAGGATTGAAATAAAATAGAATAAAGATGAAAATATTACCAGAATACCTCCACGTCACAAAACTGGTTAGAATACCACATATGTGGGTAGTAAAACGTTTGGCTGTCTGCAAAGATTTATATGTCGTTTTGCAGGACTGTTTTTCTACATATATTGACTTGACAGATGTAATCAGTATGTCTTGCACAAATCCTCATGCCTGGTTGTTGCCCTCCTTTTACCTTTGAAACATTCTTGACTTCCATTCTGAATATTTACATTAGCTCCAGAGCAACAGGGAGGTAAAAGCTGAAGACAAGGGAGTTGCCACACAAAATTAGTTAATGCCTGTTAAACTATCATGGCACAGTGGTAAGCCATGCTTGCATCTGAACAATAGCAAGAAAGAACTTGTAGCTATGAAAAAAAATCCCAAACAACAGGAAGGAATCCTGCCTGGGATGATGAGGCAGCTGAACTCTTATGTGACCAAAACTGGAGGAACTGGGTTCATCTCCCAACAGGCCATTGCATGTGGGGTCAGAGTCAGTGCTGTGTAGGGGGAGGTTTGTGGGGAAGCAAACCCTCCTCACAAACATGTCCGCATGAAAACTCAGGGGAATGAATTGTGAGCATTGTACCAGAAAAAATCAGAGTAGGCCATAAAGGGGAGTAAAGATGTGGAAGAGAGTGAAGGATTTCCAGAAGGAGAAATTCTCTAGTTGCAGCTTAAAACATAGCTATGTTTTTGTCATTATTGAATATTTCTGTACTGTTTCACAGCAGTGCAGGCAATCAACAAATACTGCCAAATTGAATTCCAGCATTTTATTATAGTGCTAGATAAAAATAAAACACAAATATATATTGCTTTGTTTGAAGATGTGTATATTTGGGGACATAATGAAAAATGGGACCTTTACAATTAAAGTTTCTGATTTGCTGTTTGAATAAAATGGAAAAACTCTTTAGGATAGGATGTGGGCCATTTTACTTCAGAATACTGTTAAGTTTTTCCTAAAGGTAAGTTTCACTGCAATCTTGGAATATACCTTCACATCTGCAGACTGCCTTTTCTGAAAATGTTGTGCTTGTTCATAGTACTTCTATTTTTTGTGGCCTTTTTAATACTCCTTTTTCTTCAGGCATTCACGTTGGTAAAAAGATAGACAAGCTGGGCATGAGGTCATCAGACACACATCAGATCACTTTTGAAGATGTAAGGGTCCCCAGCAAAAACCTCATCGGTGAGGAAGGAAAGGGTTTTACATATCAGATGTTGCAATTCCAAGAAGAGCGGCTGTGGGCAGTAGCCACTGGTAAGTCATCATTTGCGCCTCTGCGGCCGGGTAGGGTCACTTCGCATGACTAACAGCATTTTCCTTTTCTTGTAACTTGCAATGACCTTTTACAATCTGTTCTTTGAAATCTGTCATAGCCTGGATACTGACAACCTTCCCTTTCTGTAGCAAAACCTGAAATAGAAAATATTTTGTGAGCATTACAGAGGCCATTTGTGCCTTGTTTCTTTTTCTTGGTGCTTCTCTGCTGATAAGGAAATATGGGATCATGTTATGTCTGCTACAAATATAGTCCAAAGGCTATCAAAATACTGGCATGAAATAGAAGGATGGTGATTTTTCCTGTAGTACAGCAAATTATGATGCTTGTCCTGGATTTTAGGAAATTAACTTATTGGCTGTGTAAAGAAGTGGCTCTTACAGGATTTCAGTGCTTTGTTTTGCAGATCTGTTTTACCTTTGTACACTTTGGACATAAGTGGTACAGCACCAAATTCCTTTCTCTGAAGTTATGTTGTCACAGAGTTCCTGTTACTCAGAAGTCAGGCTGTAATCAAATCCATGTATCTTAGCTGTATGGATTCTGGACATTCCAGGAAACCAGATCCAAGTCTGCATCACCCATTTTCAACCTTCGATCTGTCCCCCTATCCTCCAGTGTTTGCTTCTTCAAGCTAAATATGATGTGGTTCACTGTAAGAAGATTGGTCTTTTAAATTTCAGGGCCGTCTAAATAATGTCACTGTATTCGTGCTCCTTTGCATTCCCTGCCTGTTACTGTCTGTGTGTGGCTTGGGAATGGGGAATTCTAAGAAGTGGTGTTTTGATTTAGTGAACAAATAAAAAAATGGCTCTCTGTTTTGAGTTGATCCCAGACCAAGTATTTCAGAGTTCAAATGCTTTAAAAAAAGCCTTGGTTTGAGACAAAGTTCTTAGTTCAGCCTGAAATAAACAGTAAATATGAGAGTAGTTTTAGCAAAGGACGGGAGGTTACACTTGCAGGGGATGTCACTGCAGACACAGGCAAGCAGGGGATGTGATCCTGCCACTGGTCCTGCTTTAGTCGAGGTGTACACAGACTGCAAGGATGTGCATTGTGCATTTTTATGCTTGATTTGAAGTCTAAATTAAACAAAATCATCAGAAAGCCTGGGTTGCAGTGAAACTCCCCAGGCAGCAGAGTAGCCCGCAGCATTAGTCATGCCCCAGGCAAAAGTGACGTGCACTGACAGCATCAATACACAAAGCTTGGCAGGTTAGATCACTCCTGTTAAAACCACTGGCAGCTTGGTACTGTCCAATCTTGCACAACTGCCTGGCAGTCACTGTGCTCTGCCAGGAAGTGTGACACCAGGTCTCAATTCTTCTTTTTGCCCAGAACAACACAGTGAGAGCAGGTGAACCCTTGCCCTGAATGAGTGGCCTAGGAAGGGCATCTTCTCTCCCCTGCTATGGCTAGGCAGGAGCAATCAGGGAGGAAGAGTCTTAAAGCTCACCAAGGGAGTGGGAGCTGCCTCCTGCAGTATGATTTCCACGGTGTTGTACCATGCTAGGCCCCATCGTTTTGCTTTTATCCACTGATATAAAACACATGAAAGCACTTGGAGCAGGGAGAAAACCCACGGTTTGGGCTAAGTTGCAAACTTCAGAGGTAAACCAGTTGTGGTAAACAATAAAAAGAGTAACTGATGTTCAGAAGGGAGCCTATTACTCGATGGGTGCAGTTTGTTACACCACAGCATTAACTTCCAGTCCTGCAAATGGTTTTACATATGTTCAACCATGAGTGTTTTGCTGAGGGCTCAGATGTGCAAAACGAAGTACATGCCTTCAGTAGTTTTGTGATTAGGTCTGCATGTCTCATCCTCACTTCTGCCTCTCAGAGGGACATTTCTGTTCCTTCCCAGTTCATGACTATTCATGTGACATTGAAAATCATCAGTCTGCTTTTAAACACTTTAGGGACCAGTCCTGGCATCCTCACTTTCACTGCTTCCTAAAACTTGGAAAAGGCAGTTGACTGCCATTCTTGTATTTTGTTCCTCCTTGGGTGTTGTTTTGCTGTGTCGAGGGGTTTTTGTTTTGGGTTTCTCTTTGGTTTTAATGTATTTTTAGTATCAAGTGTCATGTACCCCAGCCTTCTCTTTGCTTATTAATTATAATTATTTCTTTGTGGTCAGTGTCCTTCCTTCTTCACCTTATACTTTCATTTTAAAATGAATTTTCAGTCAAACAGATTTAAAATATGAATGGAAAACTAGCTTCCTGGAATTGCAAAATTTGATCCCAGGTGTGGTCTTTCCTTCTGAGTGACACATTATCAAAGGCTTTGGTCAAAGTCACTATGTTTCTTGCTTCATTTAAAGATAAACCCCCCATGTGTCTCTGCCATGTTGTGATACTCAGTAAACACAAACATTTGAGGACCTGTTGCATTGATCACAGGAAAAAAATGTTGCTATGGCAAGAAAGCAAACAGTTGTTTTGTGAATTGCTTAACTTGGAGACAAAGAGGGAATTCAGTGTGCGTGAGAGAGCAGAATGGCACTTTTCTAATGACTTCTATCTGCTCCTGCAGTCTCAGTTTTGTGAACTCCATTGAGTCATGGCTAGTAAGCAGGATGACATATCCTTTTGCATAGGCAATGCACATCCTTAAGAAGCAGTTTGCTCAGCTTAGAGTTCACTATACATCTCACTAGAGAGCAATTGGCCACAGCCTAAGAAGTATGTATTAATTTCTTTCTATTTAGAGAGGAAAGATGCCAGATCATCTTTACAGTGAGCAGGAGTTTCAAGTGGAAAAATATAAGTTGGATGGAGGTACGAGGGAAAGATTATTCTGCATTTGGCAACTTCAAGTGCTTACACAATTCTCAGCTGTGTGGTAGACCTTGTGTTCCTTAGGCTGCCCTAGAGTGACATTTCCTGCATGTGCTGTCAGTTGAAACCTGTGGGGCCAAGTTTCTCTGAGGATGTGCAGACTATTGTATAACGAAAAAGGAAACAAATATACAGGGGGAAAAAAAGTTCTGAGATAAAATGGGTTTCACCATTATGAATGGTGTTTCTCTGTACTTGTATAACTGGCAAAGTATTGTGTGCTGTTATGTTGTACGAGGCTGTTGGCCATCATGGTGTTCATGATATGCTGCATTTCATTGCTGTTTGCTGAACAGCTGAGCTTTGAGCTTTGTTAGAGCTATGTTCATAGTTCTAAACACCTGTAGTCATACCATCACAGAATGGTTTGGGTTGGAAGGGACCTTTAAAGATCATCATGTCCAACCCCCTTTTCATGGGTAGGGACATCTTTCACTAGACCAGGTTGCTCAAAGCCCCATCCAACCTGGCCTTTAACACTCCCAAGGATAGGGCATCCACCACTTCTCTAGGCAACCAGTGCCTTACCAGTCTCATCATAAGGATTTCTAGAATCATAGAATGATAGAATCACTTGAGTTGGAAAGGACATTGAGGATCATCTAGTTCCAACCTCAAAGCATTATTCCTTATGTTCAGTCTAAATCTATACTCTTTCAGTTTAAAACCAGTGCTCCTTGTCCTGCCACTACCAGCTCTGGTAAAAAAATCTGTCCCTGTCTTTCTTGTAAGCTCACATAGTTATATATGGAATAAGTAAGTTCAATGTAAGCTCACATAAGTTACATATTGGAAAACCGCAATAAGGTCTCCCCTGAGCCTTCACTCCTTCAGGCTGAACAACCCCAACTCTCTCATCCTGTCCTCTTGGGAGAGGTGCTCCATCCCTTAAATCTACTTCAGGGGTCTCCTCTGGACCTGCTCCAACAGATCAACATCTGCTGGATGCAGTACTCCATGTGGGATCTCTGAAGAACGGAGTAGAGCGGGAGAATCATCTCTCTTGACCTAGTGACCATGCTTCTTCTGATGCAGCACAGGGCAGTCCTTAGAAGATTTCCTCTATTTCTGTGTGGAAATGGCATTTCCTAGAATAAGAAGGGCAGTGATGGTGGCTACGGACACAGGAGGATAGATCAGCAGTGGCAGGAAGGAGGTTGTGGAGAGGTGGACACTGTGAGAGCAGTTTTCTAAGGACCCCACTCTGAGCCCTGATATGTGGTGGAAGTTTGAGCAGAGATGGGCCAAAACCCCTTCATGATTTTCAGCCCTTTTGCAAGCAGGATCTTAAGAGGTGCTGTTCTGTTTCTTCACACCTGGTCCTGCCCCTGCCCTCTCTTTGCTACTTCCCATCTTCTCAAAAAGGTGCTGGATGAACCACAAGCTGTGCTGGGGCACCTTGCTCTGACAGACTAATGTAAGACTAATCCCTTGCACTTAGCCCTCCTACCTCCTTTCTGCTCTCCTAGCACAGGCATGTATGGTTTAGTTTTCCTCCTAGCAGCTCAGACTTGGCTGTATGCTTCCCAGATTCGAGCCCTGGGGCAAGGGACAAGAGGTGTCTAGACACTCCTTGCCCACAAGCTGTGCTGGGGCACCTTGCTCTGACAGACTAATGTAAGACTAATCCCTTGCACTTAGCCCTCCTACCTCCTTTCTGCTCTCCTAGCACAGGCATGTATGGTTTAGTTTTCCTCCTAGCAGCTCAGACTTGGCTGTATGCTTCCCAGATTCGAGCCCTGGGGCAAGGGACAAGAGGTGTCTAGACACTCCTTGCCCTTTCTTTAGCATCTCTCAACCCTGAGACCTTGGATACTCAAGTGAAAAAGCTGTTGGTTTTATACATGCTGCAGTGTTGTATGACATAGTCCTTTGGAAGAACAATATTTCTGTTCAAGAGGTGTTCCTGAAAACAGAAATTTATTTTCCTGTCCAGAAAGCCAGCATTAGGGTGGCATTATAGGGTATTAACACAGAAGAAATGAGGAAATTGCTGTCTGTGTTCTTTTGAAAAATAAGCATTGAGGTTAGTTGTATGAGAAAGGAGGAAGAAAGTTTTTAAGGAATGAGAAAAACTGATCACCTCACAGAATGTGGGGACATCATGTGAAAAATGGCACCCTGTGGAAGAGCTGGTGAATGATCATGGCAGGGGCAATTGCTGGGATGCAGAGTCTGCATATGAGAGCAGTACAGGGAAGAAATTTAAATAAGGGTGATCCTGAAAGCAATGCAGAACAGGAATGTGGAAACACACCAGGCTCCTATAAGGAACTGTCATATGAGTAGCTCGCAGGTAGGAAAAGGAATTTTGTAGTAGTCCAAGGTTTGGTTTTATTTTGCATTTCAGATTAGAAGGTTTAGACACTAAATGTAAATGGATGTGGATATGCATATTCTGAAAAGAGAAAATGTGAGCTTGCTTATATAGATGGATTTGTGGACTCTCTCCCTGATGCTTGCCATAGTGACACAGGTCCACATTTGCCAAACAAAACTCTCCACATATTCAGCACTTGCTGTTATCTTAGTTAAGCTGAGAGAGACAGATAGCTTAGTCTTTCACTTCAAGGCTGGTTTGCCTTGGAAAATAAATTTTTCCCTTTCTTCTTGTTTAAAATGGGGTATCTCTCAGTTTATGCAAAGAGAAGCAGCAAACTAGTGGTCTTGCTTTAAAGCAGCATCTACTGTCTCTCTCACCTGGTTTCCAGCAGTATCCTATTTCAGTTCTGTTTCCATTAGAAGAACCATTTATCATTTATTGAAACTGGCTGTGAATCTTTTCCCTTCCTTTCCACGCTGGGATCTGATCACAGAATGCAGGCATAATAAGCAGTCTATTCTTGTTCCTTGATCTTGGAATAGGTTTCTGCCTTCTCCCTGTACGCTTCCTTAAATTTACATTTCTACAAGATTCCTCACTGAGCACACTACACTGTCTGCCTTCAGATTTTCTTTCAGGATTGTAACAGACTTCAGGACACAGCTAGCATAGAAAGCAGGAGTTGCCACAAGCTCTTCCTAAGCCCCCAGATGAGGTATTAAGGATAAAGTTTACATCCTCATCATGATGTACTGATCTCTATGACTTTCCCTCCATACCCCCTTTCACTCTTCTCCAAGTTTTGGCAGTTTGGGGATCAGGTGAAATGTATGTCTTCAAGGTACAAGGAAACACCAGACTTTTTTTCAGAATTGAAGCTGCATCCTAAACTGAGTGTATGAAATAGTTTACTTTAGAAAGCCTAATGTATTGTGTGTGCAATGTGAAAAAAACATCTTCTTCAACCAGAAGAAAACAACAGATCTAGCTAAAACAATGTCTTGTTCGGTCCTTTACTTCAAGTCCTGACACCACTGGAAACTCTAATAAGAGAAACTATTGACTACACCCGCGAGCGGAAGGTGTTTGGCCAGCCCGTCCTGCACAACCAAACAGTGCACTTCCGCCTGGCCGAGTTGGCAACTGAAGTGGAGCTCCTTCGCTCGCTGCTGCGCCGCGCCGTTGGTGAGCTCCCACATCTGCCTTCCCAGATGTGCTTCTCTTCATGCAAAGAACCTTGTCAGGCTAAAGGAATTCACCATGGGGAGGTGAATTCCAGAGAGGCAGGCTTTGGCCAGTGACTGCTGTTTTATATCTTCTTTTTTTCATTAGCTCTCTACGTAGAAGGCAACGATGTGACAAAATTTGCTTCCATGGCTAAGCTGAAAGCAGGTCGTCTGGCCCGTGAAGTGACTGATACCTGTCTCCAGTTCTGGGGAGGAATGGGATTCACCAGTGAAGTTCTGGTGAGCAGGCTTTACAGGTAAGCAAGTGGTAAAAATATGAATTGGCTTTACTGAAATTTGGCCTCTTAAATATCTTCCTGAAAGACCATCCACTTGAAAAGAGCACCAGCTCCTCACCAGTGTGAGTGGCATTGTTGCACCAAATGGCATGTCACTGATGTACATTGTGGATGCAAGGACACCCAGTGCCATTGACTTTGGGGTGACCTATGAGTGTCAGAACATAGGCTGATTGTTCCTTTGCCAAATCTTGGCTTTGCATTACAATTGCATAGTTTGGACTACCCACAGGTTAGCTTAAATGTTAAATGACAGAAGTAAACTCACTATTTTCCCTGATGGTCCTCTGGTATCTGCCAGACAGTAGGGCAAGGGGAAAAAAAGAGGCATACCAATAAGTGATTTCTTTGTCACTTTGCTTTTTGTTTGCTTGTAGTCTTGATTACAAGAACAGAACTAAAACAAGAAGCTTACTTTCAAAATGTATGAAAATCAGCTTTATCATTTTGCCCAAATGTATGTGAGACTGGAGTTCCCCATTTGGCTCCTACAGTAGTCTTTTCTGATAGCAGTCTCCACCCAATTAGTCACACCAGATACTGTGTCAGACATAGGAGAGATGTAGCTGTTTCCAGCAAGCTGTTAGATCATTAAGATGGTACAGAGGCCTTTCTGCAAATTAATTGAAGTCCCTTCAAATTTTACTCTATATCTACTTAGAGCAAAACTCTCTCTAAGCAAACAGCTTTCTTGGTAGTAGTTAGAAAAATTCTCTTCTTGGTGTCCTATATTCTGTAGAAGGAACAAAATGGAACTTGCATTTTCTTTCAGTAACAGAGTTCTATTCAGCCCTTACATACGCAATACCTAATCAAAAGCAGCAAAATAAGTAGTTCAGTTAGTTCAAAGATTTGGTAAATGTGTCTTATGTAAAGTGAGAGCAGAACACCGAAAAATCTACAAAGAGCTTGTGTCTTCTTACTAGGTTGAGTTTCTTTTCCTATTTTTAATAGCATTTTATGAACAAGAATGTCATTGTGGCAAGTCAGAGAGATCTTCAACCTTTTTTGACTCGTGGATTCCCGAAATTTTCTAGCGAAGGTGCAAACTGCTGTACAGTGGTGGTTTTAAGCCAGCTGTCAATATGATGGTTTTTCTTAGTAATTTTTTTCACAGCCTCTTATAATAGCCAGTAGTCCCTGGGGAAGGAGATGTTAAAAGTTACTGCAGTAGGCACTTTGAATAAAATGAATCCCTGTCTGGAAGCACTTACTATAAATGTTGTAGTCTGTAAAGATTAATATATATGTTTTTATATAGCTTTGTTTTGTCTTAAGATTTCCTAGCCCAATATAGTATTTCTAACAGTGAGCAGGACTTTTCTGTGTGAATTCCAGAGTGGTTTCCAAGTACACCAGCACATTTACATTTGTCCTAAGAAATCCAGAGTATTTCCTATTGGTATACAGTGTGTCAGATAGCTAAAGAGATGTATCATTCTACCTCTAAAACAAACACTGTTATAAATGAGGCTAAAGGTGCTGTGATATTTATACTCTAAAATTTTCTGTGAATCAGTAAAATTCCATCATTGAGTAACTAAAGGTCCAGGAAGGGAGAAGTAGAGTATTACCTAAATAAACAATTACAGATTCAAGTCAGAATCTTGTTAATCTGTAACGATAAGCAAAGCAGCAACTTTCCTAAAGTCGTTCTTTTTAGCACAGCAGTCTGAGTAACCATTCACGTCACTGTGATGTTTGTCAAGTAGCAGCAGCATAACTGCACAGCATGACATCTAGTCATAATGTACAAATATTTTCATAGCATAATCCTTACGAAGTTTCTAGGGAAATGTCTTTGACTCGTTGGGCTGTTACTCCTCAAAGAACACACAGCTCAATGCATGGTTAGTGCATGAAGTCTTTGAATTTTAGTAACTAGTTTCAGCAGGGAGATAATAAACAGAGCCAGCACAAAACTGTTTGGCAAATGACTTTATTCACATCTGTTGTTTTAATCATTAGTATTTTACGCTTTTAGAACAAATCATTTTTCTGAAGTTCAGTATTCTCTAGAAGGCATAAAGAGAGCTGCTTCACCATGTAGATGTCTATACTGGGCTGATTTTATGTATGTAAATGTCTCATTTTCAGTTGTGCTGATTCTGATAAGGATAATGGGTGTTTTAAAAGTCTAGAGCCCAAATATCAAAGGGTTTAATATAAGAATGAAAGCCAATATAAAACTAATAAAGAATGGACTTTCCAGACTGTACCCGACTAGCAGGGTGCTGGAGAAGGAGAGCACTAGCCTGGAGTCATGTTTGTTTATTTTGCTCTCCCCTGTCTGAAAGGCCTCAAAGACATCGTGACTTGGGAAAAATCAATCATTGAACAAACCCACAATCTATATAAAAACACCGGGTTATGAGAGATCAGAGGGAAGAAACCTTTTAGTAGCAAGTTTATTGCAATTTTTCAGATTTCATGAATTTTAAAACATTTCAGGTAGTTATCTATATATTTTAATAGTAATTATATAACACTTCAACTGTTACAGGAAGAACTTGTGAGGCCTTCTTAAAAGAGGTGGTTTTGTTTTTTTTAAAAATTGTTTCTAAGTGCTAAAGACCATGCCTAACTGCTGCCAGTGCCTACAACCTTTACTCCTGTGGGCTGTGATGGGGAGAATGCTCTCCTTTCTCCACTTGCTGCATTGTAAGGACTCAAGAAAGCAGTTGGGAAAAGTATTGATTGACTACTCATGTGAAATAGAAGTGTAAGTAGCATTGCAAATCCATGCAGCTGCAGAAGGCACACATATTTAATTTTTCCCCTCAACTGTCACATAGTTATTGCAATACTAAGTTCTATTTATAACTGAGGATAGTTATATAACAAACTTCTGTGGCGTTTCACGTTGAAATTTTTTTTATAAGGAATGCATTTCCTTCTAAGTTATATTTTGTACCCTTCACATATTTAAAAAGTCAGTTGAAATACTCTATTGTTTCATTCTTTATTTTGTTGTTCATAGTCTTTCACTCTTTACAAAGTATGTCTAAACTTAAGCGAGTCTAGACAATTGGAGTTTTTTAATCAGTTTTTGTCATTATAACAATTGATGGTCACACCAAACAAAATTAAACCTACCCCTTTCTGCTGACAAAAACAATCTGCTTTGAAGTCTGTAGCTAACTGTTGAGACAAGACTTAATATCAATTCATCAGTCATCTGTGAAATGAAATCTGTAGTTTCAAACTTTTTCTGCAGAGGCTTTGAGACAGATGTCTGTCTACCACTTTGACTTTTATGACTATCTTGAGAGTGAATTTAGGAGATGAAGCACATGACATCTACCTCTAAGATGGCAAATCAAAGCAGGTAACTAAACAGAGATGACTTTAAAGCAGAGTTATGCTCCAGAGCAGGCCAAGGTGATGCTCACTCTCTCAGCTGGGCCTTCAGAACATCCCTTAGGGTAAAGGGGAAGAGCCATGGGAACTGGCAGGTATTGCTGTGGGTTCCCGGGCTATGCCAGCCTGGCCAGAGA